GGTAGAGAATTGTGCTGTGTTTAATCTTTGGCAATATAAAGGTCATATGTCACATGCTCTGGCAGCCATCTTGGTTTAAGTAAACCTATTTCTGACAGTTTTCAAACATCTATTTTTTCATAACCGCTAAGGCTACAGATATACAAATTTCTAGGTGAGGATATACTGAGTTCTGCACTCATGTTTATTACAAGTCATGTGACTGCATGGTTTGGCAGCCATTTTGGATTGTGCAAAAAATATGCAAACAACTTAAACTCTGAAACCATTTATCAGAATAACACAAAACTTTCCACATATATCCATGGTGACCTCTTCTACCACGATCCCAAAATCAATATGGCCGCCACAAGCCAATCACTTTTTGACATTGCATCCAATTGCATAAATGTGCATTTATACCACTAGTGACGTATGTTAAACACGTTATACATATGATAACTAATCTCTCTAACTACAATGTCTTCTCATGTGCTATGACCGGCTCTACTGCTTGGCCACCCTTATTGCTGCTTGCAGCTATATTTTATATATGTTTCACTGTATTAGATGTGTATGACTATTAGCTCGGCATAATATTGTTTTTTCAAATTTTTAGATATTTATTTATATCCTTAGTAGCTCTTATTTCACCTACTGGCGCTGATCACCTCATGTTTTTTTTTTTAGATGTAGATTTTATGTTGGCACCTTAAAAATGTCCCATTTAAAAAATGGAATTCCATGTGTCAGAATAGTCAGGGGCAGCATAGTGGTTAGTGGTTAGTGCTTCTGTCTTGCAGCACTTGGTTGGAATCCCGGCCAGGTCACTATCTGCATGGAGTTTGCATGTTCTCCCGGTGCTTGTGTGGGTTTCCTCCGGGCACTCTGGTTTCCTCCCACACTCCAAAAACATATTGGAAGGTTACTTGGCTCCTCTCTAAGTTGGCCCTCTATGTACGCATGTGAGATAGGAACCTTAGATTGTAAGCTCCTTGAGGGGCTGATGTGAATGTGCAACTATGTAAAGTGCTGCGTAAACTGTCGGCGCTATATAGTCAGCTTTAGAGTGCCAGACCGGGAACCAGGCTGGAGGGAAGATTTGCTGATGGTCTTAGCCCTCGTTCACACCTGACCGTTTTGTAGCGCGTTCTACGCGCGACGAACGCTCTACAAAACGGTCAAAAATATAAATTGCATTGTAGTCAATGGTCTCGTTCCCACCTTGCCGTATTTCCGCCCGTCCCTAACGCGCTACAAAACGGCCCACGCTTGAAACGGTCCAGGTACTACTTTGGGCCGTTTTGTAGGGCGTTTTCCATTGGGACACAGCCAAGTAGCCTTCGGAATCGCACAACTTTTTTAACGCAAATCGGGGTAAAAACACCACGCGACAGACGCGCATATGCAATACGCCTAGGTGTGAACGAGGGCTTAGAACAACCAAGCCAGCCAAATAAAGAGAAGAAAAAGCCACAATAAGGAGAAAAACACACTTTCTGATTTGGGCATAATAGCTGCAGAATGCAATTGGTCAGAACAGTTCTACCTTCAGAGAGGACATGGAATCCACACCTAATAACGGATCCGTAGAGTGATACTGACCGAAACAGTGTCTGTGTCAGATTCAGGGACAAAAATGGATGTTAGTGCCCCCTGGCTAAGAGGTGGTCCCAGCAGTCAGCTGATCCAGACCATAAGGGGCAACCTTCTCACAAGAGCCCGATGGGACTAAGTTCCACTTGCATATGCATAACGTCCCCAGCGCTGTTTGCCAGAGATACAAGTGAAGGCCAAGCAAAACAAAGCTAAGGTATGCCCCTAACTGTCCTGTTCTACAATGCTAAAGGCAGCGAGTTCTGTAAGAGGGCTCCGGCCAGTACCACACTCTATGGAAATGTGCTTTAAAGGATTCTGCTGATCACTCAGAAGTGTCTGGGAGGCAATGTATTGAGAACACCTGTGTCAGGGTAGGTGGTGCTGCTTGGTAAATTTCACCTAAAAATCCAGAGAAGCCTTCAATCAGCCTGGGTAGGCATTAAAAGAAGCGTGGGCCATTGTCTGGTCTGCATTGGCATAGGAACTCCGAGAAACTGAATTAGGTTTGCATGAACAACCAGGGAGAATGAGGGTTGGAGTAAGCAGAAAACATTTGTTTTTGAATGTCTGTAGAAGAAAAAGATGGCCCCCCCCCTTGTGGCCTCTGTGGTAACAGTCACCAATAAATGGCTTATATTGGTGCCAAGTCTTTTTTTCAATAGTGTAGCAGAAAAAGAGAAGAGCTCCCCCTTGTGGCCTGTAGTAGAAAAATAAAGAGGGCTCCCCCTTGTGGCCTTTGTGGTAACAGTCACCTATAACCGCATGATCTACTGTAGGTGGTAAGATTTTATTTCAATGCCTGGAAATAAAGAGAAGGGCTCCCCCTTGTCACAGTCACCAATCTCTGGGTGATATGTGCTATGAAGTCTTGCATGACTGTAATAAAAACCTCAGCGCAGAGGAAACGATCACACCCAGCGGAGCGAAGGAAGACTCTAGGGGAGGGCAACAGGGTTCCAGGCTGCAGACATGCACCCTGCCCCCCGTGGAGACAATTCCACTCCACAGCATGGTGTACAAACGTATGGGATTTAAAGTGTCAACTGCTACATGTGGCGGTACCGAGAAAGGGTACCCAGAAACACAGCAGAAGTCCGTAAACCAGAGGGGACAGAAGACCCCATCACACTCAGCTTCACTTACTTCAGACAAGCACACCCCGGCGGGGACAGGCTCACACCATTGTCCAGGACCAGTATAGCACCCTACAGCTAACTCACCGTGCTGCACTACCTGCCAAAGTGGGCTCCAAACTTCAGATCCCTGGCCCAAAATGACATTACAGGCCAACTCCAGACATGGAACAAAATGGGGGAGATTAGATCCTCTGAGAAGGTTGGTCACTTCTATTACGGTGACACCAAGCAATCGCTCAGGAAGAGTGAAGGGCCAGGACAACAAGAAACGTCTGAGGAAAGGGTATCCACGGTGGTTATGGAAAGGGAAAAATTCTCACCTGTCAAGGCGGCCACCAGATCTACAATT